GGTCCGGGCCATCCCCTCGTGTCCTGATGCATCCCCTCCCGTGTCCCAGTGCATCCCTTTGGTGCCCGCCGCAGCATGGCAGGCGTGCGGTGTGCCCGCCCGTGTCCCGGTGTGTCCCCTCACTGCCCACTGTGGGCACTTGTGCTTGTCCTACGGGTGCTTGTCCCATGGATGCACCCACCCATGTCCTGGTGCATCCCCTTGGCACCCACTGTGGACATGGCAGGGGTGTCAATGCCCACCTGTGTCCCAGTGTGTCCCCTCCTGTGTCCCCGCACATCCCCTTGGTGCCCACTGCAGCATGGCAGGGGAGCTGTGCACCCTCCCGTGTCCCCATGTGTCCCCTTGGTGCTGCTGCAGCATGGCAGGGGAGCTGTGCAACCTCCCGTGTTCCTGTGTGTCCCCTCCGGTGTCCCCGTGTGTCCCCTTGGTGCCACTGCAGCATGGCAGGGGAGCTGTGCAACCTCCCGCATCCCCGTGTGTCCCCTCCCGTGTCCCGGTGTGTCCCCTTGGTGCCACTGCAGCATGGCAGGGGAGCTGCACACCCACCCATGTCCCCGTGTGTCCCCTCCCGCGTCCCCATGTGTCCCCTCCCGTGTCCCCGTGTGTCCCCTTGGTGCCACTGCAGCATGGCAGGGGGGCTGCACATCTGCATGCAGCCACGCTGCGACAGCGCGCATGGAAATGCCCATTCCAAGCGCTCGGTGCCCATGGTGCAACCCTTGGCAGGTGCTCTCAATCAAAGCGCTTCGCCCCTCAGAGGTGACATCCATCGTGCAGCCCTGTCCCGTGTCCCCTGCCTGCTGTCCCCTCGCTCCTGGGTCTCTCCAAACCTGCATTGGAGCCGCTGGGACACGTTTTGGGGCACAGTCTGTGCATGTCACCCACACGGTGACGGCCGTAAGGAAATGGGCGTCCATGTCCTATGTGCGATCTGAACATTTTGAAGAGTACGTGACGCCCAGAGGAGGTCTGCGATAGCGACGCGTTGCTGACTTCTAACCTGCCGCACAGACAGGAACGTGAAGTGTGCGATCTAAGCACCCGCAGCCACAGAAACTGCCTGGTGAGGGCCTGCGCGTTGTCGCCCAGCCCGGCAGCACGGGACGGATCGGGACGCGCTGGGTGCGCGCCGGATCTCAGACAACAGCACCGACAGGACAGCCCAAACGCGGAATATTTAACGCCAATTCTGGGATATTTCCCAGGGGCGGATCGGGAAGCGCTGTGTACGTGCCGGATCCCAGACAACAGCACCGACAGGACAGCCCAAACGCGGAATATTTAACGCCAATTCTGGGATATTTCCCAGGGGCGCACGCTGCCCTCAGGGCAAACTGAGGAGACTAAATGATTTGAAAGTGAGGGTGGCCCTCACTGTGGGGGGAAGGTGGTTTATGACGTCATATGGGCCGCTCGTGACGTCACGCCCTGGAAGGGTGGGGGGACCCGGCAGCGCGAAGCAGCCCGTGGCACCGTGACGCGAGAGGAGGCGGGTGACGCCATGATGACGTCCCGCCCCAGCGCTGCTGAGTCACGGCCGCCCGCACTAAGATGGCCTCCCG